GAAAATTGCCCCCACTAAAATCTGTTTCTGACTCCCTCCATACCTAACATTTCGTGTTGAATTAATATCTCTCCACTATTGCTTGTATCAAACAAAATCTTACCAGAATTTTGTTGTAGAATCAATGTTAGGGTTTATTAAATATGTTGATGCACAAAATCAGCGAAGACTTTGGTACAACAGAAAGTGTCAGGTTTTGTGACCTTCGCTTGGTTGCTTCGGTCACTAGTGAGGATAAGTACGTAAATGAATAGAGACAGAGAAGCAAACACAGGATGTACGTGGTTCACCCAGATTGGCTACGTCCACGGAGTAGAGGAGTTCTTATTAGTAGTGAAGGGCTTACACAAGTACAAAGGATCAAGCTCTCAATTTAGTGAGTTCTTGTGAATGATTTAACACAAATGTCATTAGCCAATATTGTGGGGGAATGGCCCCTATTTATAGAAAAACTTGTAGCTTTGTCACATTGACATGTGTCATGTTATGATTGGTTCTTGATGTCGACACGTGCTGCGCTCTGATTGGCTTCTAATCTTGACACGTGTCGAGTAGTGATTGGCCTCCTGGTCGGAGGGGAACTCTTCTGGGTCCTTGACAGTATAGCGTTGGCCGGTGCTCGGTAGTTTCGGGATTGGTCAAGTATGGTACAAACAGTGCTCACTTAAGTTCCCGAGTGAGGGAAACTCCTCGAAGAAATCGAAGAAGCACCTGCTTTTTCAGCCTCGTCAGCACCTGTCACATGCACAATCAGCTTTGCGAAAATTACGGGCAATCTGTCGAAGATTTCTGGTGAAGTAAAAAGCACGTGAATCTTACTGTTCAATCACCGCTCTCCATATGCACCATCAACTCCTCGGGTACCACATATAACTTTGTCAAAGATCTCTGACAAAGTTTAGGCACGAGAATTTCGAAGTTCCAGCTACCCTACTATTACCCATAAGGGTAAAGGAACAGCACCACTGCTTGACAACTGGAAAGTCCCTATGTGTGTCGACCTCCGTGTTTTGCGGCAAGACAGGTTGGCAAGAACGTCCAACCTTTACTCACATTCGAGAAAAGACTCCCAACATAATTACTTTCTCAAAAACCGGAGTAGCACCGCTTTCCGAATCTCGAGAGTCAGATCCTCGACGGGATTGCTTGTTCGAAAACCGAAGAGGCACAACTCTCAGAACTTCGAGAGCCAGATTTCCTTAGATAAAGCTTGTCTGTAATCTTCACACGTAACATCAGCTTTCCAGATACCACATACCACTTTTTCAAAGTGCTCTGACAAAATTAAAAACACGTGAAGCTGGCAGCTCCCACTACATTGCTGTGACCAAGAAGGGTAAAGGAATATCATTACTACTTGTTATTGGGAAATCCCTATATATACATTGACCTCCCTCCTCAACGGACAGGCAAACCTGCAAAAATGCTTAACCCTTTCTCGCATTCGAAAAGGCACCCTCAACATAACCTCTCGAAATACTCAGCTTTATTTCCCCCCGATAATACCTCAGCAAATAAGCCACACCAAGAACAAGAGTATCTCATATCATCAGGGTCGAAAGCAAGAGTATCCCATATCATGCTTTCTCCCTGTCTTTGTCTTTGTCCTTGTCCACACCTACAGGACAAGGAGAAAGAGAGCAGTCAGTCGGAACCTGAAATCAAACCTCCAATTTGGAACTGACTGCCTGGAGCCTTTGCCTGGTTGCTTACTTAGCATTGCTCTCTCGAGTACTCATCCTCAACTGCTGTCAAGGTCACGAATTCCACCGGCAAATACCTCATGACAGTTGATCAGATATTGGCTCTTTACACTGAAGCTGCCAAGCGTGGATGAGTCACTATGAAGGAATGTTCTGAAGGACCATTTAAATGCAAAGGTTGCACACCACTTCTGCCATGCAAAAGATTGAAGCAGAAGGTTCAACGGTGAGCTGAAACAGATCACTACAGCACGACACCTTTCCATACCACATTCATTATTCCGTCAACAGCAAAAGTATCCCATATCATCAAGGTCGAACGTACTCTAGATTTGATGGACTTGTTTTGACCCTCAAATTTTTGAGTCGGCCTTATACTCTGAAGGGCACCAGAAAAACCCTCCAGCACAGTTCAAGAATAAGCCTATGGAAAGTTACTTCTTCAAAAGCAAAAGTATCTCATATCATCTCTTATCCATTTGCTTCTCCTTATCCTGGCAGTTGAATGAGAGACAAGGAGAAGGAGAACAATCAACCGGAAGCCGAAGTCAAACCTCAGATCCTGGGTTGCTTACTTGGAAGTTTGACTGCTTACCTTGTCTGTCACCTCTTTCGGCAGATCTCCTAGCTCGGCGACTTGGGGGACTTCTACTATAGGGTTTGTATCACACTTGACTAAGCCCGAAACTACAACTAAGCTTCAAGTGAAATTGATACATTACCTTGTGCGTCAACATCAGCTAAATACACCATTCCCGGATGGAGGAAAGGTACTTCCAGAGAAGGGCAGATGAAGATCAGACCACACTTCGGTACTTAGAAGTTTCGTGATTACTCAAGGGATTGGATCTTGCAAGTCCCCAACCGAGGAGTTTCCCTCACTCGGGAACTTAGGGGAGCACTGTTTGTACCATACTTGACCAATCCCGAAACTACCGAGCACCGGCCAACGCTATACTGTCAAGGACCCAGAAGAGTTCCCCTCCGACCAGGAGGCCAATCACTACTCGACACGTGTCAAGATTAGAAGCCAATCAGAGCGCAGCACGTGTCGACATCAAGAACCAATCATAACATGACACATGTCAATGTGACAAAGCTACAAGTTTTTCTATAAATAGGGGCCATTCCCCCACAATATTGGCTAATGCCATTTGTGTTAAATCATTCACAAGAACTCACTAAATTGAGAGCTTGATCCTTTGTACTTGTGTAAGCCCTTCACTACTAATAAGAACTCCTCTACTCCGTGGACGTAGCCAATCTGGGTGAACCACGTACATCCTGTGTTTGCTTCTCTGTCTCTATTCATTTACGTACTTATCCTCACTAGTGACCGAAGCAACCAAGCGAAGGTCACAAAACCTGACACTTTCTGTTGTACCAAAGTCTTCGCTGATTTTGTGCATCAACAAAATATATTGCTTCCATGAAAAGGTATCGTAGGAAGTAGCAGTAGCGGAAAAGTGGCGTCTAAGCAAAAGGCTTTTGTGGGATTTTGTCCCTTCGTTCATATGATATCATCTTGGTTTCATCAGGATTTGAGGTTGACTCGGATAACTTACCTATAACACCATTGACCGTACAATTCATGTCCACGTGAATAGTAATCCTGCATGTTACGCCACGTACGTCTGATCATCAGCTACTAGTTTTTAGTTTAGTAGTATTTTTAGGGTTCGTAGACTTTTACGGGAAAAGAATGTTACATACTCTTAAACAAGTTAAAGTTTCATCTAAAAATCAATTTCATTATATGTTTGTTTGCAAAATTGCTTAACATTCTGATACACGTTTTACGCTTTATGTTTGGCGACCCTTAAGTCAAACAAGCGGTCAATACTTATCGGGCATACATGTGGTTATTGAGCTTCACACATAGACTAGTTTGCTCTACTCGCCTAACTCCTTATATGTCTATACAATCTCAGGGACCACTTCTATTGATTTCAAATTTCAGGGACCAGAGTGATGTGTTAAGCAAATCTCGGGACTATTTTGGCTAAAAAGCCTAACTTGATTGATTAAGAACATTCACTTGTACATTCTAAATCTCGAATTTAACCCTCCTCCGAATACAATTGTATAGAAAAAATTGTACAACATCAGAACTTCAGAATGTAGAAGTAAGCACACATGGTCAAGTTGTTACCAAGGCATCAATTTCCTCACTCACATTAATAGTATTGTATTTGGTAAAATATTGACCTACATAGTAATCTGAATTTCTTAATTAAAATCTCATGAAATTAAGAGTTTGGCAATTGGTTAATTGGGTGAAGAATGTTGCGGAATATAAGGAGAAAAGAATTGTTCATGTCAACAGCCAACAGTTGTCTTTCTTGGCATATACATGACTTGCAGTACATAAGTGGACCATGTGACAATTTGTATACTCATTCTTCCATTGATTTTAGGGCAAGTCAATAACAACTACACTTGACTTTTTATATATCTTACTATTAAGTTACCTTTGTTCTTTGTTTTATTAGTTGACATATGATTGAAACCATATGACAAAGAAAATTAGTTTTTTATAATCTTTAGCAGAGATTAATGATGATGATCATGACGACGATGGTGATAATAGTGATGGTGGTAGATAGATACACGTTGATCAGGCAAAAGAGGACTATTTCATTGACAAAAACCTTCAAGTGCTGTCATCTCTACGAGTCCATGTCCCGACGGAACTCTTCAATCACGTCTTCAATCACGTGATGGTGTGATATGATCAGGGGGAAAAAAAATTTAGGTCAGCCTGTCTGATCACGTGACATGTTCGACCACTCAACATCGACAAACATGTCGACACGTTATCGATTATCGAGATGTTCATATTGTCTACATCTTGATTACATATGCTTTTCAGTAAAAAGACTAAAGTAACTGGTTATGTGCCAGTATCTCTCCCCTCTCCTTGGTGGTATGAACAAACTGCCCTAGTTCATGTGCAAAATATGGTAGCTCAAAACAGAAAAGTATGTATGTCATGAAATACGTTCAGCTTTCATTCACTCCACCCTCATATGTTCATGCAGAATATATGCTTTCCAGCTTGCATTCCACAAGTGTGAGGGTGACTGGAAGAAAATGACTTAACCTTGCATTTATCCTTATCTACCCAGAGCACTATAAAAAATTAGCAGAGGGGCCATTCAAACAGCAATGAAGCCTTATCCCATTAAGTAGGGTCGACTATATGAATCATAGAATGCCATTGCGCTTGGTTATACGCCAAGTCTTCCGTTAGCTCTAAGTATTCCGTATCTTTAAGAAAAAAAAAGGCCATTCAAATAAAAAATGAATCAACAGGTTCTCTTTCTGTAATTGTACAACCAAAGATTTTACAATCTAAGTGAAACAACTTTAGTTATGCAGCAAAGAAAGAAGAATCTGCTAAAAACGCATAAAAAATAAATAAAAGAAAAACAATTTCCTTGAGCTATACACATGAGATAATGATTATAACTAAAGGAATGAAATGCAAAACTTGTATCATGAACAAAGTTTGGGCAAAGATCTTGTACGGTTGTGGCTTGGTGATTTCGATTTCGTAAACTTTGACATTTGAGATTGCATTTTCTTGCAAAGTTTTTCCAATTCCATGACCCTGCACTGCATGCCTTGCAGATGTGCTCTGAGCTTGTCATTGTCATCTGAGAGATCAATTTTCCCGGCATAAAGCACAAGTTGTACATTGGCATCATCTTTCCTCAATCCCCTACTTTCGGCCTCAGTAATGGCGCTATAAGGGGAGTCAGTGTAGGACTTGGGATTGTTGGTTGCGTGGAGTAAGCTTTTGAGCTTGGATTGCTGATAGACAAGAGCTTGGACTGCGGATTTTGATGGAAATTTTGTGTTCTGTGAAAGATGTACGTAAGTCTCTGCTGAGAGCTTCTCATAGTTCAACACACAACATATCTTCATCTTTTCTTCTTCGGACAATCCTGGGTGTACCTATGTCAAAGCAGATCAAAACCAACTTCAAATGAATAATCTTCAAAACATGCTCGGTGTAATTAGATTTTCGAAATGTGCTATTTGAATTCTTGGATCATAAGTTATTAAAACAAAATTTACAAGAGCATAAATTATTTTGAGACAAATCTAATACCTGTAGATACATGTCTATGGCATGGTAAAGCTCATCATAAGAGACTCTCGCAGAATCCGGCAGCGCGATGGCTAAAGCCAGAAACTTTGAAGGCTTCAAACGAGGATCTGGGGTTACTTCTGCTATATACAAATCAACCAAGGCAGCAACTTTCCTTAATCGCATTGGGGGCCTGTCAGCTTGACAGGTTCCTCCGTCATGCAGAAATGATTTCAAGAACCGTAGAACAAGATTGACATCATACAAATAATTGATTCCTTGTGGGGATGGAACAAGCAAATTGTCCAATGTTGCTTGATCTAGCTGTGAACCGATCATATTCTCCAACTTATTCCTAACACTTTTGTTTAAGTTCAAATTCAGCGAAACTCGAAGAATCCCAAATAAGCTCTTGCAAGAAACACAGCTCTGATCAAGCATATACAGCATCTCAATGACCATTTCAGCAATGGTGCGCTTGGTATCAGATTTGACAGTGTAAAACTTCGATTTCTGGTAGTAAAAGAGGAACCTACTAATGATAACATGATCGAGTTTTCGCGAAACCATGGCCTTGACCAGCATTTCAACCAAATTTGGACCTAAAACTAGAAGATCCTCGAACCACCAGGTTGCTCGAGACAAGGTAGTTTTCAAACTCTCGGTGCTTCTAGTGTCGCACGAAAACCGAATTCCAGAGCTATCCGGAGATGATGTTGAAGGACAAGGACTCGCTTCGCTTGTCAAAGGCAATCTTGCAACAAGGGTATCCAAGCATTTCTCAACTAGACTCAAAGAATTTGCAACCGGAAGCAAATCCTGGCACTGCTTCAAGGCCGTCAAAAGCTCAGACCATGACCAATACCTGATCTCTTCAAACGAATTCTCCGCTTTTTGTAACAAATTATGTCTACCGGCGACAGAATTGTTCATTTCCATGAACTGCGCGGCGCAGTAAAGGAGGGAAATGTTGGAAGGAGTTATGTAAATGCTGCCATTGTTGTAGCAGAACCTCGCAATCAGCTCGAAACTCTCTGCTCCTCCGGGAAAATCATGGAATACCACTTTAAGATTTCTTGAGGAAGCTTTTGATTTACCAAGTAGTTTGCTCAATTTTCCACAGTAGGAGGCAATAGCTCTCTGCAAAAATGGTCATGAAACCAGAATTACCACTCATTTGCTGAAAAATTCACCAAAGTAATAAAAAATAGTTGAGAGCTAGTAAATAAGCACAAAAAATCCAATTTACAGAAAAACCCACCAAAGGGATGAACTCATTGAATAGAAAAATGAATTAAATAAAAAAAACAAAGTGGGAATCTACATTCTACACCAGAAAGGCAGAAGGTGCCAAAGAAATGAAAAGAGGTCGTTATATGTAATAAATTGTGGTGTGGCAATTGAGAAAAGATGTCTGCCAATCATCCAAGGTTCCCTGCAGTGGAGGGCAAAAAGTGGCAATAAATACGGCCATGAAAGTAACACCCTCTCACTCTCAGAGTCCATATCAAAAGAAGTGAAGATTTGAGACTCCCAATTCCCATAACAGCAGCAATAAATGGGAGAGAATGAAGCAAAACGGAAAAGGCGTGCAATTTGTTGAATTAAAAAGACAGAACCAAAAGAACAAAAAGCTAAGGCAGCCATGAGTTCATGACCCACATCAATGCATTATAGGTGTGAAAATTAAATGGTTGGGGACAAAAGGATGAATCTTTGCAATCCATCAGCCATGGTGGATAAACTGGAAAGTAACCCGGATAAAATTTACCAGAGAATGTACGAAATTTACAAAGTTCATCAGTAAAACTTCACAATTCAAGCACAAAATGTTATGACAAAATTACATTTGAACAGAAGAAGAAGATGGGTTTTTGCTATTAAAAAAAGGGAAAATCTTTGCAATTCATCAGTCAAGATGGATAAAATGGAAAGTAACCCAGATAAAAATTACCAGAGCATGTATGAAATTTACAAACTTTATGCATAAAACTTGACAATTCAAGCACAAAAGTTTACTACAAAATTACATTTGGACAGATGAAAATGTATGGAACTTTTCTGTAAAAAAATAAGAGGGTTTGAAACTATTTGCAAGCACAGAATTATTACCTTGTCCACCATGAAAGACTCTTCCCCATTGACATCCACTTCAAGATCACAATGAACTTCCATAACCCAAATGATTAAAAAAGCTTAAAAACAAAAACCCACTTCAGATCAAGAGTTGTTTTTGGGGACTTGCAATCAGAAGAGCAAAATAAGTTATTTTTTAAGGGTGCAGCAGAGACAGAGAGGCGAGGAGGACAAATGGGGAGGAGGAAGGGGACACAAAACCATATTCTGAAATGGGGAAGAACACAAAGGGAAAGAGGTTGAGGGCTTTGGTTACTGGAAAAAAGAATTGGATGCTATTGGTTCAGGCAGAAGCAATGTGGTGGCTCTCGACTGGGGTTTTAGAGAAGTGATAATTAGCCAAGAGTGTAAAGACAGATTATACATACATGTATATATATATAGAGAGAGAGAGAGAGAGAGAGAGAGAGAGAGAGAGAGAGCAGCTGAAGTTTGTATTAGTAGACCACTAGCCATTTTGGACATTCCCAGTCCCAGAGAAAATGCATCTGTAAGCTTAGGAAATCTATTAATTAATTGATTAGGTGAAAGTATAAATTATTAGTGCATAATTGTTAATGTTGGAAGTGGGATTGTTCTTTTTGGGGTGAAGACCATTAAAGCTTGGAAGTGAAGCTTTGTTGCTGGCTTGCTTTTCCTCCCCTCCCTCCCTCCCTTCGGTTTTTGGGCCACGTTCATCGCTGCAAGTCTCTCTGTAGGTGTGCAGTGCGGTGCACCCATTACATCTCTCCCCGATCCACTACTTTATTAATTGGGTTGAATTTCCCTCTCTAGCATGGATTTGTTACGAGGTATGCTATCCACACATTCCATTTTACTTCTCACACACCTCTTGATAATTTATGTCCGTTGATCTTCTTCAATTCATCCGATCCGACGGCCGAAAAGTAAAAAGGTGTGTGAGAAGTAAAATGGAATGTGTGGATATCACATTCCTTTATTATTTGTACATTGGGACCATTTCAGATTCTCCTTTCTAATTATTTATTTTGTTTTGGTGGGATTATATTTGGACGTTTGTTATTGGGGGTGGGTTTGGAGGACCCCATTTCTGTATAGTTGGAGAGATTTTTTAATGTATCAGGAATATTGAGTGGTACGTTATATGTTATTATACAAGTGGTTTGAAGTTTTGTTTTCAAGTGTCCATCCATTTGTATTATGATATGTGGCATATGTGTCATTGATCCAGACACAGTGAAAAATCTCTCGTATAGTTGGTCCTGTCAAAAGATCCTACTTGAATAAAACAGAGTAGGTTTTTCTCTCCTCCCCTCATCTCTCACTTTCCTTTTATTCTTTCTTTCTCTATAACTGTGTTAACACAAGATGGTGATGTGATTTAATCGTAACCGTTTAAATATGAAGAGACGGGAGGAGAGGAGAATTTGATACGGAGAGAATATTACTCGTATGTCTATGCTCAAACTCGACTCAAATGAATTTTCAAGCTCGGCCCGGTTCGTTTATGAACAAAGCTTGAGCTTTTGGGGTGGCTTCGCTAAGCACAACTGTGAAAAGAACTCAAGTTTTAGTTTTGAGTCGCCTTAAACTTTTTAGATTTTAACTACATTAATATAATTTTGACGGTTTTTATTACAAATAATCCTTTATATTTTGAGAACCAATCGTTTTCGTCATTTTTGTTTCGATTCAATCAATTTGTTCTAGCATGTTTGCTCCACATGTCAATTTGGTTCTTCCCGTCCAAACCACCCCGTCCCCCCTGCAGATTTCCCCGACTGTCCACCCCCACCCCCCGACATACCGATATCTTCCTACTGAAACTGTGCAAGGCACAAATATATGAAGTCTTCTATCCACCATCTCTCTCTCTCTCTCTCTCTCTCTCTCTCTCTCTCTCTCTCTCTCTCTCTCTCTCTCTCTGTATGTCATGTTACGCCTCAAATCCAAAATTAGCATGAGTTGCTGCATCAATGAGTTGGGTGAGTTCCTCCACAACCCAAACTGCAAGACCACCTTATTGGTCTCCATATATTATAACCCATGAGCGAATGACTTGGTATTTTTGCATTTTGTATTTTTATGTTTATTAATTAATTTAAGTATTTGAATCTATTGAGACACCATCTCATTGTTTCGGATTTTTGAGAATGAGGAGCATTAATCTGTTGAATGGGCGAGACTTTGGAAGGAGGGAAGAATAGATAGTGTTCCTCTAATTGTATCATGACATGTTGTGTTTTATATAGTGTTCTGAACACACTGAATAATCTCTCGAGAGGGAGTGGGAGGGCATGAGGGTGGAGGGCCTACGAAGGTGGTTTTATATTATTTATTATTATAAAAGTTTAGAGCGTAGTTTTTGAACAGCCGAATTTTGTTTGATCCACATGGCAATAAATAAGTAGAGTTGTAAGTCCCCACATTAGCACTCTAAAAGGTTCTCAATGAATTTAGATAGCAATGACCAAATCGATGTGTGAGAGCAAACATGACAGACTAAATTGATTGAACTAGATTCCCAAAATGTAAAAGAACATTTGGAATAAAAACCTTAATTTTATGACATCTTTTATTTTAAATATAAAGATCCAAATGTTTAACCTTTATCAGTAAAACTTTAAGGAACAATCTGAAGTTGAACCAAACTCGAGTTGAGTCATAAAACGATATGAGTTGCTCATTAGCTTTATGAGTCAAATGCAATAAGGTGCACATTCGGGAGATGCTACAATGTTATAATCATACAATCTTGAAAGTCAGATAATGATTATATTGAATATATAATTCACATAGATTATATTTGACCGTTACAGTAATTATTTTTAAATACATATAAATATTGAAGCCAAATACATAATATTCTTCAATCACATAAAAGTTTTATATTCCAAAATCTCTACCTCTTTTTTGCTGTAATCTTTCACCAACATGTAGGATTCATAAGGCCCAAAACTTAATCGTAGGATTTAACATTGAGGCCAAACATTTATAGGCATCAGAGATTAATATATCTGCAACCCATCCCTCGTCAATAATCCGACCTTAGCTCAGTTGGTAGAGCGGAGGACTGTAGTGGGTGACATGCTCTCAGCCATCCTTAGGTCGCTGGTTCGAATCCGGCAGGTCGGATTTCTTTTTACAATTTATTTATTTATTAATTTTTTCTATTAAAAAGTACAAACATATGCAGCTAAGATTATACAACCCACGATCCAGAGAATCAAATCCTTTTTTAGGTTAATGACAATGAGAAAATCAAATGCCAAATAATTGCCCATATTTTGGTTTGAACAATACCTAGTTGAGACACAAAATGGTTTCTAACCATAACAAATCATGGAGAAATGCTAGCAAACTTTACGTTTGTTTGTACCATACTTGACCGATCCTGAAACTACTGATAGGAGCATATTTATGCAACTTAGTTAAATTGTTTTCTTGCATTTTCATAGTTTATTTGTGTTTGTTATAGTGTTTAAGCTATTTTAGTGTGTTTGTAGGTCCAAATGACAAAGTTGGCAAGAAAGTGCAATTTGGAGCATTTTGGAGCAGTTTTGGGCATCAATTGAATAGCTTATGAGTGGAGCAAGATAAATGGACGAATTGGAAGTTCAAGAGGCTAGGAATGTGTTGAAAAGATGAAGAAAATAAATCCAAGACAAAGAAGATAAGGAATCAGCTCAAAAGATGAAATATTATCCAAAGCCTTATCCAACCTTATCTTATCTTATCCTTGCCTAATCTAGCCTAATCTTATCTTAGCTTATCCAAATCAGTTTGTGCCTTAATTCCAGCTATTTCTAAGGGATAATTATGCATTCAAAATATATATTTCAGATTCTAGAACCCTTATCCCTTAGGTGCTGCATATATGCCCTTACCTTGGTGAACTAGGAATTATAATCCTTCTCTAAAAACCATGTCGTGTATACTTGTCCATTTAGGTTCAGAAATAGGTGTTGGAACATCCTTTCTAGAAGCTTAATATCTGCTGCACCTTTCTAACCTAATTCTACTTGGGTTTTGATTGTTTTAACCCATTCCACTTGGGTTTTGGTTACACAATCCTTGTTCCAATTTGATTTCAGAAACCTATCCTAATCCTTAAGGATTGTGCCGTGGGTTTGCCCTGTAAATACAAGTTTGTGCTGCACCATTCAGTTCACCACCCTCTACCACAATTCACTACACCATTCACCATAAATCCCTCATTGTGCTGCAACTAAGGAAAGAGAAGAAGGAAGAAACTTGGAGCCGTGCTTGCCATTCAAGAAGATTGGATTGCTGGAGCGTTCTTAGATTTCAATGTTTAATTTAAATTATCTTTGTTTAATTGCGAACATGAGGAACTAATTTCTTTATACTTGGAGGTGAATTCGAAGCCATGATTATATGTTTATATGAATTGATTTCCTCCAGTTATTGTTTCATGAATCGTGAATGTGGTTTACTTATCTGTTATATTAAGAACTTGTTCTTGTATGTTGATTAAGGTGGCCAACTTAGTTTGCATGCATGAATTTGATGCTAGAGTATAAGGGAATTTCACCTAATCGTTATGAACTTATATTCATGAGTAGTAAAAGTCGCTAGTCACAATTGTGTTAAGTAAATCATAGGCAAGAGTAACTTGCTTTTCATAGTTATGAATGCCTCGTCAATACTTATGGTTTCCATTGAACTTAATGATCTTTGATATGTGTCTCTATCATGCGTATTTCATAGTTAGGGAACTTGATAAAGAATAATTTGGTTGTGATGCGTTATCCATTCAATTCAATGAATCTAGGGAAATCTGAGAATTAATTAGTTCAATACAATTAATTCGGGGCATTGTCATTCATGGTTTGTCGAAAGAAAAACTAGAAATCAATTCGTATGCATATGTTTCATGTGTGGAAAAGGAACCCTCTAACTAGCCTTTCACCCATTCTATTTCATTCAATTTCGAGTTTTTAAAGTTTGTTCTATAAGTTTCTGTTTCTAAGTTTTAAACCCTTTTTCTTAAGTCTTGTGTTTAGAGTCAAAACCTGTTTTCTTTTAGTCTTTTGAGTCAAGTTAAGTTTTATTTTCGTCCAAATCACTTGTTAGGTCTAGAATTGAGTCTTTTTTATTGTTTGTTGCTGTTTTGAGTATTTTAAGTTAGTTTTGAGTCTATAGAGTCTAGTTTAGTGTTTTTGAGTCTTATTTGCATTGATTAGTGGCCCTAGTTAATCCCTAGTCTAGAACGATCCATACTTACATCTTTACTACAATTGTCATCATTAGGGTTTAATTTGAGTGTCAAGTTAATTTTCACATCAAATTCATGCACGCAAACTAAGTTGGCCACCTTAATCAACATACAAGAACAAGTTCTTAATAAAACAGATAAGTAAACCACATTCACGATTCATGAAACAATAACTGGAGGAAATCAATTCATATAAAACATATAATCATGGCTTCGAATTCACCTCCAACTATAAAGAAATTAGTTCCTCATGTTAGCAATTAAACAAAGATAATTTAAATTAAACATTGAAATCAAAGATAGAATACACCTAAGAACGCTCCAGCAATCCAATCTTCTTTAATGGCAAGCACGGCTCCAAGTTTCTTCATTCTTCTCCTTCCTTAGCTGCAGCACAATAAGGGATTTATGATGAATTGTGGTAGAGGGTGGTGAACTGAATGG